CGTGCTCGCTATGCCGGTATCGATGGCCTGGCCATGGTACTAGCCTGGTTTTCTTATCTGTTATTCTTTTTGCCGCGCACGGCTGCCTCTGGTGTAGGGACTGCGCTCCCTAGGTGCGCACCAGCACTGTATTCCCGTGTGAAAAGCACGCTGTTTTTCCGACAGTTTAAGTCTTCGCGAATGCTATTGCAAACGGTTGCGGTAACTACGCCATTTACCTGCGTTAGTAGGTGGTTTCTGTGGAGTCGCTTAAATGGCGCGCAGCATACGTCAACATTGACGAGAGCCTTTCTGAATTTTAAGCACGTTACCCCGATACTTTTTTCTTACGAGCCAGCGTCTGCACGGAGATCGTAAAGACTCAACGAACCAGCTACAGAGTTCTACAGCCATGGGCTCTTCAGTTTGCTGAACGGTCTTTCGCAGAATACTAATGTGAGCGAAACAGCACCTCACGTGATGCGCTGGACGAAGAAAAAAAACGACGCGTGCAGGTTATGCCTTTTACTTTGCAAGTGTTGTGTAAATGTTTATGTATATCGCCAACTGCGGCGTGGCTTCTTGGCATTAACATCTACAACAAGCAACGACAACGTCATTATTTCTCGACACCCGATATGGAACCAAACGAGTTCAGTATCACATGACGACACAAAACATGAAACTGTACTATCAAAGGGTATAATATATTATGCGATACAACTTTATCTCTATTTGGAACCGGAAGGAGTAAAGTGATGCAATGTTGAGAAAGAGCGAGAGATAAACAAAGAAGGAAGGCAGGGAGGTTTACCGAGCCTTGGCTTAGTAGGCCTTGGGTGGAGGAAACAACGCCCATGTCCCGGATTTTTCAAATGTCCACTTTCAACGGTAGATATTATTGTGCTGTCATTCTAGGGACAGGCATGCGTCTGTGTCATATTGAGTATCAGGCTATATCACGATCAGGCAGTCTAAAAGCAATTATTGGAAACAGGATTTATATCACCAATCTATATCTTCTTATAAATGTTCAGAAGTGAGCACGTCGCCACACCGCGGTGGTTTAGTAGCTGAAGTACTCGGCTGCTGACCCGCTGGTCGCGGAATCGAATCCGGCAGCGGCGGCTGCATTTCCGGTGGAGGCGGAAATGTTGCAGGCCAGTGTGCTCATATTTGGGTGCACGTTAAAGAACCCCAGGTGGTCGAAATTTCTGGAGCCCTCCACTACGGCCTCTCTCATAATCAAATGGTGGTTTTGGGACGTTAAACCCCACATATCAATCAAGAAGTGAGCGCGTCATAAAAAATAAGAAGCACTAATCATTTGCGCAAACACTACATATTTCACAGAGAAGGCTAGAAAGAAGCCATCAGCCGCACTTATTCACAACCTATTCCAGCATTGGGTAAAAGCAGCTCAAATTTCAAACAAGTATCGGCTCTTTATTAGTCATGTCATGCTTAGCACGACCAACGGTGTGATAGCCGACAGCCTACTCTGCAATGTTGATCAAGTCTTAAAGAAATACACGATGACTTCTTGATCTTTAAAGTATACAAACCTCAGATTAAAGCAACTGTCCTTTAAAGACAGAATACAGTTGTTAAGATGTATTTCCGGTGTGTTTTAGGTGTGTTGCCACCACCTTCATTTCTTTTCAGGCAGTGCAAACAATCTACCCGTTTGATATTGCCAAACTTTATCATACACTTCATAGCTGCTTGGTGTTACCATGCATTTAGCGAATACAGATGTTTTCGAACCCACTGCAGCAGACTGAGGCTATCGTCAGAACCAGTTTGTTAGAGAACTGAGTAAATGCACTTGCTCGCTCTTGTCATGGCTAAACAGATAAACAAACCAATTTTGCTGGAAGCTCGTAAATGGTCGGTGGAAGCTTTCATCAACGAAGCATGTTCCCTTTAAAAGCAATACGGCCTCAAATCTTTGCTCTTTCAATCTCTGAGTCCATCATTGCAGAATAACTTGACGACAAGCCAGCTATATAAGCGTATGGGGCGGTACAAGCTTCTGTGCAGCAATCGCGCTTGAAATGGAAACTTCATGTTTCCATGTATGCCCCTTTATAGAACGTACAAAACGCTACCCCACCCCCCTCTTTTATTTATGTGTTTACATCATGCACGTGTTGCGAAAAGCGGATTGCTTTTTGGCGTGCGCGGCTCGTGAAGTTTTCTAATGGGCTCTTTGAAATTGACGCATGCAGCTTTTCGCGCGAGCACTCCGACTACCCACCGAGTTCGTTAACGAAGTTCATTCGGGAAAACTTTGTAACGCCCAATCCCGTTTACTTCTCCTATCAACCTTCGTCTTGCTCCGCTCTTATCGAAAGACCATGGAAAAGTTCCTCAGCACATTAGATTGGTTGCTGCGAGATGCATCTGCTTTTTATAAAGGCGAACTTCCACGTGCCAGTCTTTTTCGCTCATTTGCTTCGATATTTGCGGCACAGCTCAAGGATGAATAAGCAGCCAAATAGCGCCTGCCCTTGCAGATCGTTCATCGACCACAGTTGTTGGGAAAGTTCTTTGCGACACCATGGCGTCTTGAGCACGTGGCGTAAACATTGCTCGTGGGTCCAGCGATTTGCCAATACTGCTTTAATAAAGTGGCGAAAAGCAGAAGGTCGCAACGAATGGTTAGCATAGCGTTTTCGTTAATCGCATTATCGTGCATATAAAGTACTGTTATTGTGACCACACGCAAGGCCAGTGCTCGTCGATATCGCCTTGTGCGTAACCTTAGCGTCTTGAGCCTCGCTCCTCGCAACTTCAAGCGCATGACGACTCTTTGTGTTCTTCGTAACCTCAATTGATGCTAATGAATTCAGGCAGTATAATACTCGAGCTAATATGTTTATATTCTCTTTTTATAGGATGTTGTTGCTTTTTTTTTTTGGAGTGACACACTTACTGGGAATTCCTTGTCGCTGTCATGGCTCCTGTGTGTGAAACCAAAAGAGATCAAATCTTCTCGCCTGAAACCAAGTGCGCCTATTGAATTTCGAATTAACATTTATTAAAGTAGAGCAAATGGAAGTATTTGAGGCTTACTATTAGGGTGTATAGCATCTCGGCGATCAGCATCAAGATGGATGGACACGGGGAGCACGTCTGTTTCAGTTCTGCTCTATGTTTCTTCCTCGTAGCGTTCATGTCTATTTTCAGCGTGAAAGGCGGGTATGTGTATTATATTGTAACCTTATGTAAATGCAAACGCATTGTAGCAGTATAACTTTGGGCCGGAATGCTGAATAACATTTACCTTTAACACACTGGTCTCCTTGAACTGAATCATCACAATGTAGGCATGCTCTAAGAACTTAGTTACAATCAACTGATACAAAGCGCATATAGGCACGCATAGGATTATTCATCAAAAAAAAGGGGTGGGGGAACAAGCACTGATTTTACAGTCAATTCTCTATCCCCCCCTCCATGTCCACCTTCCACATTCAACAAAGGCAGGGCAAATCAGAATAAGGAACGATATGAGACTTACTTGGATTCCTCCTTTGCTGCTTAGGAAAAAGGGGTGTACCACCACCACCACCACCACCACCATGCTTAGGAAAAAGGGGTGTACTTGCTCGCTTCGCCCCCCCCCCCCCTCCCCACGACACATGTGCACATCTATGTGCGCGCCTTACCAGTCTCTTTCCCTCAGTGCTTCCGAATAGATTTTTCTTCATTGCCACTTATCTTGTCCATCGAGCGTCGTAGCCAACACGTCATCCGCTATGTTGATCAGCGTGAATAGCCTTAAAGTTTACATCCCTCTGTGATTTCGTAGTGACTGATAGCAAGCTACAGCTTGCGAAAAAGTACAAAGCACGTCCTTCGTAGTGACTGATAGCAAGCTACAGCCTGCGAAAAAGTACAAAGGCACGTCCTTATTTTTTTTATCTCGCACACGTTTTACCCAGGCGATGTTGCAGCAATTAACCTGTTAAACAGACTTTTGTTTGTTTGTTTGTTTGTGTGTTTGTTTGTTTTTCCCTGCTTGTTTCGGTGTACGGAAGGACACATCTACCCTGGCAGAAAGTACGAAGCATTGCCGCACAAGCAAACAACATAGCGTAAATGTAGAGTCACCGTCTGTGACCAAAAGCAAACAATGCAACCCCAACTGCGACTCGTCTCGTTATCGTGGTACAAGAGCTAGCTCACGGTAACACATCTCATTACGCACTGCCTGCTGGTGCGACGCGAAAACTAATTTGTTTTTGTCATTATTTACATTCATCGTCGTGCTTTTACTTTTGCTCGTCGACATGACAGAATGGTTTCGACGCACCTACACTGTCTTGTAATTAGAGCTACATGTCGCGGCTCTCCATGGTGAGCACTGAGTTAATTATATACTTGCGTGAACGAGCCCATAAATGAATGGTGTTAACATGGAACAAATTAATTCATGGATCAACATTTATTTGAACTACCACTTTCTCCTCCAGTTGAGGAGAACTTCTTAGTAAAAAGCGGTACTTACATCATGCTTATGCACATGTCACCGGTTTATGTCTATGCCTCGAGACTAACAGATAGCTTCCACGAGACCTCATGAACGCGACTTCATAGCGAGCTGATCTTCAACAGTGTGGTTTCGATTACTTCAAGGTAACATAAACACGTTCAGGTTACCCTGCTTCTGCGAGAGAACGATGCAGTGTAAGCGCTGTTGGCCTTTGTGCATGAATATGCATGTGTGATTAATTCATAAGAATAACGCGACGCCACTAACCTTGCGTCCCGCATTGTAATGCTCCAAGGCGGCTGTTTCAGTGATGTCAGTGCAGGTCGTCTAAATATTTAACGTGCACGTTGGCCACTGTATGGACTTTATTAGTATCTTCGACTTATGAAAATAATGTTCCGCCATTGACTGTATGGTGCACATTTATTTGTTTTTGAGGAAATCGTGTACCAAGCGTCTCACGTTCGCAACTTTGACGCGGTATCATAACAAATACAGATGCAATGTCTTTCAGTAAACAATGGAAGCTTATGCCTCGGCAGGTAAGGATTGTTTTCGACGAGAAAGTACTTAATTTTTCAACTGTAAAACTAGGCAATAATCCATTCAGGCTGTACCAACACGTTAAAAGGAATTGTTACTATTTTGGTGCATTGCATTTGTTACTGTCGAATGTGCTACGTAAATAAAATTTTCCTCATTTTTCATTGTCACACTGAACCTGATAACATCGTATAGTTACTGTAGCGACGTTTTTTTTTTCTTTCCAATATCATTTCATTACAATTTCTGCGACTGTGCAAGCTTTCCTGGTTCCTACGAACCATTTGGCATTATTGGCTTGATTAGCTGATGACTTTACTCAATTACACTTCTGATAGGCTTCTCTAGCACATGGAGTTTTATGAAAGCAATTTCTGATAGACATGCTCAACACTACAAGTTTTTATCTTGTTATTCTTTTAAGTGTGAATACACTTTATAAGCGACCCCAAACCATCCACCGCCGTCGGCGGCGTCCGCAGTCTTCTCTCTATCTTTAAAAGAAAGAGGACTTGGCGGGCCGCAGCGCGACGCTCTACCGAATAAGCCACAGACGCGACGCTGATATCGGTGTCAGTAACGCGCCTTATACCCCCTCCCCCTTCGCTCGCTCCTCTGCTCTCCTCGCTCGCTGCAGCTGCGCGCGCACCCCTCTCTCTCGCGCACCCACCTTCTCTCTCAGTCTCCCGTCGAGAGCGGGTCGTGAGGGGGAGTAAAGTTAAAATCCGTTGGCATTCGCCAGTGAGTTAACGTAAACTCCCCCGTGTGATCAAATTGCGATTCCCAGGAACCATTACACCATAAAGGCACCATAGTGTGATTAATAAATATAATAGTGCGAATTAATAAATACCCCTCATAGCATCACCCCGTGTATTCGCACTTAACCATGTTCACCCTCGGGGAAATGCTTGGGAGTTTTTTTTCGATTATTGTTCTAACAAGTTGGTGTCGACAATTTGCTGAGTTCGCTGCCATTCTGCGATTGTGGCACCAATTGTAACCTATGTTTCGGTGGTGTGTGTGAATGTGCATGAGGCAGTACATCAAACGGGCTCCCGCTGAGGAACTTTCAACACACTTTGCATACGCTAGAATCGCCCCCCCCCCCTCCGCCCTGGCTTCGTGCATGGCCATCCCACACATAGGTGTGCGCAGGGTCCTCCGTAAAAAGGGGTGGGCCGTGTTTCACCACAGTGTCACCCCTCCCCTTCCACCTGTTGCCTGAATGATGTGACAGTAGATTCGAGATAATATAAAAAAGAAACGAGCTTCGATGAATGGAAATACTGAAGTCCTTGTCCCCTGCTTCCAGTGAGTAAAAAAGAGAGAATAAAATAAGGGAAAGGCAGGGAGGTTAACCAGAAATCAGAGCATCCGGTTTGCTACTCTGCAATGAGGGAAGGGAGAATGGGGAATAAAAGATGGGAAAGAAAGGAAAGAGTGAAATAGACGCGCGAAAGAGAAATAAAAAAAGTGAGGTGGGGTGCTATAGCCTATTCAATAGGCCACTACCACGCAAAAAGTTCAATAAGGCCTTCACTGATTTTCTGTGCGAAGACAGATTATGTCGCCCGTGCGTAAAAGTTGAAAGTAATTTGTCGCCCGTGCGTAAAAGTTGAAAGTTGATTCTTGGATCACGACATAAGGAATCCTTGGCTGTCATTATCGTCAGAACCCTTTGTGGCCATAACGATCCGACGATAACGGGACAGGAATAATTGGGTAACGATATAAGACCAGCTTGAGTACCCCCTCCTCGTGTCTAGATGATTAAGGGAGTGACCGCACACCTCTCCTCCCACGTGCGCACGTACCAGCGTTATGCGCACATACCTATGCTAGTAGGACGGCTGGACGGCGCGCTGGTTCCAATCCTCGTTCCTCCTCTCCCGGAGAACAGTTTACGTGCTCGTGCTTTGTCCCTCAAATGCTGTTCAAGATTAAGCCTACGAAAAACTAACGCGCGTACTTATTTTCTATGCCCAGTGCTCAGACGCCGCTATGACGTGAAGGTGTACGAAGAATTCGTCATCAAGGGCAACACGGCTGTCCTACGATGCCACGTACCTGAGTTTGTCCGCGAATACGTCACCGTCACCGCATGGCTCATAGACGAGACCGTCAAGATCAGCGCGGGATTCCACCGTGGTAAGTACGCTTTATTTCTAAGGGAAATAAACTTCGAAGTGAAATGAACAGGAGATAATTTTAGGATCACGTAACAACATCTCAAGAAACTGCATAAATGACATGAACAAGGGTGCGTCCCCCTTCTTATCTTGTACATGCTGTTTTTGCGCTGTCGTCAATATGTTATAACTATCCCAGCAACCAATTACTATTACTAACTATCCCAGCTATCAATTCTTATACATCACGTACGGTGTCCGATGACGCACGTATATGTAGTCTGACCTATATACTTGCCTTGCCTTGCGAACGAGTCTAAATCTTCTGTACATTCATCACGGGCGTACAGCATTTACTAAATTCTCTTGCCTTGATCATCTTAACAGTCCATTATTCTTTGCCGTTCTTGCAGAATAACAAAGTGAACCCTTCATCCAATTCCTTCTTTTGCTGTTTCTCCCCAAATTTTCCTCAATTACTATACTATATTTTCATGTTTGCTTGTAAGTACGAAATAAAGGTTGTGCATCACCGCCTACTGCAAGCAAAAATAAGATATATAAACAAGAAGGCCGTGAGGTTAGCCGGGTATTGGTGGGTGGTTTGCTATCCCGCAGTGGGATGCAAAATAACAGTAGGAAAGAGGTAAAGTTGAAGTGAATGGGAAGTCACGTGAGCAAATCTGAACGAAGTAATAAATTTAGTCTATAGTGTAACGAAATGTTCCCTGATGACAGAAATATGAATTACCAGCAATGAGAGCATGAATCGTCCAGGTACGCTGCCAACGGTCAGCCTTTTTTTTAATTTTTTCTTTAATCGTCATAGCAGCAGGGATGAAAGAATGTTGTTGACTTGGGCGGTGTATTAAAAATTCCTTCCAATGCAGCATACACAAAACATTCAGACTCAGCTTCTTTTATTTGGTCGTCGTTAGTCATACTGCATGCTCTCTACTGTGGTTGATGCGTATTCGTCCAACATATCAGAGTGATTTGTTGGACCATTAGGGTATACAAACACTCGTAGTCCTATGGCGAGCGTAGTCTTTTAAAAGTGAAATAACTGGTGCGCAACTCTTCCAGCTGATAAAGAACAAGAACGTGGGCGCGCTGGTCTGTGAACACCATGAGCGTGGCAGGTTTTCATAGCGATGAAAACGCGCCGACTGCAAAGAATAGATGAGCTACCGCAATATGGGGCAGCGCATGTACGAATGCGATAACTGGCTTCCCCTCCAGTGGCTGCGTCGAAATGGCGCGCCTGCGGCGTATTGAACGAGCCGAACGACAAGAAGCGGTCATAAGCCCCACACCCGGCCATTCTGGCACGCAGGCAACCGCTAATCCCGGATGAGCTGCTTACGCATTCGCTATACAGGCCACCGGCAAAGCGGCTGTGTTTTTCGCATGAGTCAGCGGAAAAAAAAACGTAACAAAAATGTGCCGGAGAATACGGCACACCAACACTACCCACGCCTCTCTGAATATATATACATAGTACAGATACGTTGCATTCTGTATTATTGTAGTTACCTCCCCGGAAAGTGATTTGGCCGAAGTGCTCGCCCCGCTTTCCTGATTGAGAGTTCTCATAAAGCTGCATAGCAGCGTCGATGCTGAACTGGTCGATCTAGGAGGTTTTAGGCTTGCGAGGTTGATGTGCGAGCACTGCTTGCTTTGATAGCACCGAACACCTACATTCGGCGGCGTTTAGAATGAGCGGGCGGCAAACGAATCGACGCGTGTGCGAATAGTTCTCGGTTCATAACTACGCAAAAATTAAATATGTTTTGCCGAGGAGATTCCGTATATTTGACCACACTGTGGCGTCATCTTGCGAGGTTAGCGCAAAGGACAAAACCTTCACTTTCATTCTTATCTCTAAGGGAAATGTCGATTCATTAGTCATTGGTTTCGTAGTTCTATTATTTTCGATCAATGCTTCGTCCCCAGCCCCGCCGCGGTGGTCTAGTGGCTAAGGTACTCGGCTGCTGACCCGCACGTCGCGGGTTCGAATCCCGGCTGCGGTGGCTGCATTTCCAATGGAGGCGGAAATGTTGTAGGCCCGTGTACTCAGATTTGGATGCACGTTAAAGAACCCCAGCTGGTCGAAATTTCCGGAGCCCTCCACTTCGGCGTCTCTCATAATCATATGGTGGTTTTGGGACGTTAAACCCCACATATCAATCAATGCTTCGTCCTTTCACCAACCGACTTCTAACTCAGCTGATTGGGCATAATTATGGATAACTCTCCAGCCCTTCTTTTCACAGTTTTATCCCTCTCTGCATTGCATGCAAAAAAATGAACAAGAAACAATACATCTTTTTTAACAACCTCAGTATGCATCTTCAAACAATAACACTTTGTGTGGTGTTTAAAAAGCAGTAGGAACCAATGATGTCATTACAAATTACAAACACCGATTCTTGGAGTTAAAGCCGCTCTTTATTTCGAGTAGCCTAGAAAGAAGAAAATTAAGTCACCAGCACAAATTTAGTGAATTCAAACTCTACTCTATGCTATTCTCACTTTTAATGTCCTACAATCTCCACCTTTAGCAGAAAACGAGTGCTGTTCAGCGGCCACACCAAAGGCTATTTCACACATCAAGTGCATACTGCACACGCTATAGTCGCTCCGATGGCTCTGTCCTGCCCAACCGCTCAACTGCGGCGGTCGTTATTCCAACGCACGCCACAACCATCAAATTCAGGACAGCCCATGCAACCACAACTACAGCAGCAGAGACCGCAGCGCTTCCCGCTGCGCTGCGTTTCATTAGCGACCAAAGCACGCAACGGTGGACGATTTTCTGCGACTGCAAGGCGGCACTTCAGTCACTTCGGTCAAATCTACGCCGTGGTCCCCACGAGCAATTGGTATTTGAAACAGCAGAAATGCTACAGCATATAACCGAGAAAGGGCACCACGTTATATTTCAGTGGTTGCCAAGCCATTGTGGAATTATCGGTAACGAACATGCTGATCAAGCTGCCCGTTCAGCCCACACAGAAGACAACAACCAGTCAATACCTCTCTCAAGGACGGATGCTGCTAGGAGGCTGCGCATGCTTGCTCGCCAATGCTCCATGGCTCTTTGGAATGAGCCTCTCTTTACGTATGCAAGATTACGATCCCTTAATCCAACGTTAAGCTTACAGTCTCCAACGAAAATTCGGCGAGGTGACGCTACTGCTCTGTGCAGACTATGGTTGGGAGTCGCGTTTACCCGTGTGTACGCGTTCCGCATAGGGATGGCCGACACCGCCGACTGTGCACACTGCGGAGATGAAACGATTCGACATATCCTGTGCGACTGCCCGGAATACAACCTGAAAAGACAACACCTTTCTAATACCCTAAACAAGTTAGATGACCAGCCGCTGTCAGAAGAAAGTATACTGCGCCATCGTCATGACTCATCATCACAGAAGAAAGCCGTGCCAGCGCTACTGGGCTTCTTGCGAACTACTGGCCTGTCGGGACGCCTCTGAGTGGACTGACTTTGTGTGTGCGTGTGTGTCGGTGTTTTTTCTCTTCTTTATTTTTAACTCTCTTTTTCTCTTTCAACCCCTATTCTCCAACCCCAGTATAGGTTAGCATACCGGATACTAGCATCTGGTTAACCTCCCTGCCTTCCTTTTTTCTCGTTTCTCTCTCTCTCTCTCTCTCTCTCTCTCTATTGTCGCTGCGGCGCCTGTACTTGTGAAAAAAAAATGCCGCTTTTATTGGTTTTGCTTGTAATTTGAATGGTTTTGTTTGATCCTTCAATTATACTTACTCAACAGTGACGCGACTGTGTTTACCTGGTTTTACCATAAATGTTTTCTATAATCAGACGCCTTTGTGAAGCATCGGTCTTTTTGTATTGATTTATTCAGCAAGGTAAAAAACGCATTCGTTGAGAAGGTTACAGTCAATACGCGACGCCGAGGCTGATGTGGCAGAATATGTGAAATGCCCAGATTTTTACATGAAATTAATGTTTCTCATTTCTTTTCTCATCCCTCACCCCTTCCTAAATGTGTGTTCACAAACATAAAAGCCTGGGTCAACGTCCGCGACTTGCTTTTTTGTTTGTTTTTCTCTCACACTGGTCGGCAGCACGACATTTTAACAGTATTTAGCTGATTGTTACGCGAACAGTGACTTCATACATTTTCTTATAGCGTACGTCCCAGCGTACACACTTCAAGTGCCTCTCGCATGGTTGGTCGTTTTGCTCAAACTTTCTCAGCTCGTCACACACACATCGCAGGTGACAGGTACAGCCTGTTCCCGACGGGGGAGCTGCACGTGAGAAGGGTGGATGCCACCGACGCCATGTCCCGCTACCAGTGCCAGACGCAGCACAGGCTCACGGGCGAGGTCGTCAGCAGCCCGTCGAGCAGAAAGATCACTGTCAGAGGTGAGCGCAGTGTGCCATATTAAAAACGATAGTCTTTCTTGGGATTACTACAACGAACAAAGTTCTGGTCTTTCTGTTGGTGTCTGCACAACGAATAAGTCACCCAGCGAATGTTTAACCCCATTGGTCAACGCCCGCCGATATTTATCAGGTAGCTGTGTTACTATACTTGCGAACGTTGCGAATCGAAACGCACACTATTGCGCATGTTTCAGGTGCAACATCAAAATACGCAAGTGTTAGGCAGTGTGTTTTTTATTTAAAAATGCATAGGTACGTAATTATAAAGACTGAAGTGTTCATGAGGCTTCTCTCAAAATGCGATGCTATGAAAGACAAAGCGGGTGTTTCGAAAAGTACGATTTGTTGAAATATTCAGGAGCTTGACTAAAACTAACATTAACTAAGACAATCCACTGCTGCCACCTAACAGTAACTCGGCGTTCTAAAACACTTTCGTTTCTTTCACAATACTGCCAGATGACACCATACACGTGGCTCCTCCAGACAGATTGACTATCGTCTTTCGACGTCCTTTGCAGCTAAGCACGGAGATACGCAGCCAATTTTACTTCACGAAATTAACGTGTGAGAGCACATTGTGCACTTTTACTGTTTGACATTAAGAGAATAGACTATAGTTCTGCTCTGTTCATTAGAACGAAATGCATACAAGCTTAGTCTCAATAGCAATCGGCATGATACATTTCAGACTGCGAATGGGGAAGAAACATTCGTGATGTGAGCGCTCTGCAGGTTGTGGGTCGTTGACTTGCGTCTGTTGTATGTTTGATTGAAATACTTCGTCAACAAGCTGCATTTTCTTTAACATTTATGTGTTGCGTAGTTAACGAAGGCAAGATTCGGTTGCTGTTGCTGAGGTAGTAAATGGCTATGTCGAACTAAATACACTTGTGTGGAGAAATTAGGGACTTTGCAGGCATAGACAGGAATGAATTCACACATGACCAGGTGCGTTGGAGATCTTAGGTAGAGACCTTCGTACGGCAGGAGACATCGGTAAAAGTGATGATGATCAAGGCAGGGTTGATTGGAGGATCCAGGAAAGCGCCTTTGCTCTACAGTGACGCAGTCAGGCTGATGACGACTATCGCTATTATTGTGATGATGTTAACGAAGATGGTGATGATGAAGTGTAACAAACTGGCTCAGTAGTGTTAGTTTTAAATTATAAAACATGAAAAAAGCTGGGTAGCACGAGGGAGGTTGTAATAAATCGGTTTAACCATTTTAATGAATACTAATTAAACAATGATGCTAATAATAATGTGGCAATTGATATCATTCAATATAAAAGTATACTTGATCTAGGTGACCACCCCACCGTGGTGGTCTAGTGGCTAAGGTACTCGGCTGCTGACCCGCAGGCCCCGGGATCAAATCCCGGCTGCAGCGGCTGCATTTCCGATGGAGGCGGAAATGTTGTAGGCCCGTGTGCTCATATTTGGGTGCACGTTAAAGGACCTCAGGTGGTCGAAATTTCCGGAGCACTCCACTACGGCGTCTCTCATATATGTTGGTTTTGGGACGTTAAACCCCGCATGTCAATCAATTGATTTAGGTGACCCCATTAATTTATCTAGTCTTACGACAGCGCTAAACGTAATCTGTTTCGCCAGCACAAAACTTGCTGTGACTCCTTTCTGGCCTAGTATATCATAGTGCGTAAGCTGAAACATGGTCACACATCGTAACAGTTCAAACACAGCGGTGCTCTTATGTGTCTCATTTTGCCACTACATGCACAGCATCTTCCGTACTCAGTATAACTTCTATGTTATGTCATCGGAAGTGAGCATTCAGCACTTCGGCGCCGTCGAGAATTTTATTTCCTGTCCGGCATTCCAACGATGCTAACGAAAATTCACGCACGTGGCCGTTCGTCTTTTGACTGACTTTGAAAATGTATGCATGTACACTTTTAGATTCGTGTGCACTTCTGAGGGAAAACAAAAATTATGAGGGCAAACAGAAATTTTCAAGCGGGAAGACTCTCTGGCCGAGGTTCGATTGCTGTCTACAATGTCATTAAGTCATTCAAGTCTACCAGTTGCTTGTTGCACAATATATATATATATATATATATATATATATATATTATATATATATATATGTATGTGTGTGTGTGTGTGTGTGTGTGTGTGTGTGTGTGTGTGTGTGTGTGTGTGTGTGTGTGTGTGTGTGTGTGTGTGTGTGTGTGTGTGTGTGTGTGTGTGTGGTGTGTGTGTGTGTGTGTGTGTGTGTGTGTGTGTGTGTGTGTCAGGGCATCGCAGAAAACGGCAAAACGTAAAAGGATGAAGGTCATGGTAGCAACTATCAATATAAAACCACCGGCTCTCATTGATTACACATTTTGTTGTCCACATTGCTTGCTTGCTGTTCCCTTTTCACCATTTTCGAGTATGAATACGGTACCCATTCTCCATACCTTTTAAGGATAAAAAAAAAGAGTATACATGCATGTTAAAATGCAGGATATCACGTATTGAATTAACAACACGCAGTTTTGAAGCTAGTCAAACGTAGGTCTTGAAAAATATATATACAGCACCAAATAAAAACAAGAAAGTAATACTGACTGTGCGCCCTACGTCCGAAAGGCTTCTGTAGGATTGATATCCCGACAGGGGTGAGTTGCGTCGTCTCTCTCTTAAGTGAGCTAGTATTCTGAAATACGACATACTGGTCATTCAGCGCAGTAGTTCGATCCAAGAGCTATTCACAATAATGTGACTAGCTCTTAGGTATTTCTGTGAATAAATTACTTTAGACAATGTTTATTCATTTTAAGCCGAGCTGAAGCATTGTTATGTGCTTTACCTAAGCGTAATGACGCAGCATGAGATGGATGAATGCAAATCCAGGCCCTTAAAGTGCTCTGCAGCTCAAATAAAGAGAAACGTGGAAGCTCATACAGCTCCGCTCTTTCTTCAGGCTTGGCATCACTCTTGCGATGTTGTCATAATTTTTAACGCAGAAGATGTGCCTTTTACCAGATTAAGAAGCAAAAACGCAAGCATTAGCCCAATGCCTCCTTTATTTCTTTTGATTCCAGAGCAAACGCGCGCACTCAACGGGCAGCCGTCAGCCCGGCTTAGTCCGGAAGGTGGTAGTGACGTGGCGCGATATAAAAGGTGGCACTTCTCGCATCACACCTGCGTTTGGGCGCTTTCCCCTGACAATGCGATAGATGTGTTTGTTACCCACTTCAAATATCTTACGCTTGTTAGATTTGTTCTTTCGGGCTCCTTCTTTGTGGCTGGAAACATTGTCGCCGCTGCATCACAGCGTTCTTAAAGTCAGCACATGCAGTAGCGTTGCAGTGACGCTTCCCCATTGTTTCCCGCATAGCGCCACGAACGGCGACATGCGCTATCTCAAAACACCTTATCTTTTACCGAGCTAGTGTGGCAGTTAACAGTATACGAACACGAGGAATGGAAGGCGCCGCTCCACGAGTTCGTACACAGCTGGACAAAGATTACTTCAATGATTTCCGTTGTGAGGCACTACATGATGGGCTCTCTTTTCCATGACTGTAAAGCACTCGTGAAGGGTAGGTGATGGGCGAGAGCAAGAAGGGGCGAGAGGAGAGAGTGGTTAAAGGAGTATGGAAGTGGCTGTATGGGGCGCATCTGGCTGGCATTAAACGATAACGGAATCCGAAATACCGTTATCGTCTGATGAGAGCCTGAAGAGCTTGATCTCCTTATCGATCATTACAGATTGTAAGTCACAGAAGCCAAGGCGAAATGCTACAACAGTGCCGAAAATGCTTTCGAAATAGATGCAAGCGCCTGTTTTACGAACCGGATAGAAGCGACGCGTCGTTGAAAACAGTAAACGATGCAAACGAGGGATTGGGTGTACTCCAGTACACATTGCCCCGTAAACCTGAGTTTACCCCGCTGTTACGCTACCCGCCACGGTGCTCTAGTGGTCATGGTGTTCAACTACTGAGCCGATAGTCCTTCCCCCCACATTTTGGTCCTAAGTGAAAACGATAGTGGTCACCGTACTTGATTCTGGTGCAGGTTAAAGCACCCAAGGTTTTATAAAATTCGGGAGCCCTCCACTACGGCGCCCATTCACAATCATATCGTCGTTTTGGGACGTTAAAAACCAATAGATGATTTTCGTAAACTTCAATTGTGTTTACCTGTGCCACAAACTAGCCCTACTAATGGCAGCACCTGTCATGCTTATGTTGGAAACAAAGTCGATAGTTTCATGCGAAATGGCTTGTCTATTGTGCGTGTTTATATCAAGAAAGAAGAGTCTGCATCTTCCACGCCACAGCGCAACATAATGCACTTGAATACACTGTTTGCAGTAAACGGCTAGCCCCCGTCAGTTAGGCAAGCTGCACAGCAACAAATCCATAGATTTACAATTATGAAAAAGGTATGTTACTAATCCTGAGTTCCTGCGTCGTGCTTTTTTCCGCAGAGTCGTTCGCCATGTCTCCTCGGATCATAGACAGCCGGCGTCAAGTGCGAGCCGACCAGGGCCGCTCGGCGCAGATGCCTTGCGCGGCACAGGGGAACCCGGTGCCCAGCTACCAGTGGTTTCGCAAGGTGCGGGGACAGGCGCTGCCCGTACTTCAAGGAGGCCGGTTTCTGCACCTCGACGGCACTCTTGTAATCAACCAGGTACGTATTACCCCCGCTCTTCATATTGACCAAGCCGTCAGTTTCCGCTGAGCCAGTCTGGGCCATGTTTTGTAGTGATTTGTTTCCCATTTCCAGCGTAGCCATTTTATCTTCGTTCTGGCCCAGCTGCTAGGGAATGCATGACAGCGTTGCTATCGACGACGCATTCACCTCGAACCTCTATTATCAGAGCAGCAGTGTCAGAATACGAAATTGAAGAAACGGAATCGTTAGCAAAATGCGGCCCCATAACGCTTGTTAAACAAGAATCACTAAAAAAGTCTGTGCTTGCGGTGTCGCAGTGTGCTAATGAAGGAACCAATCGTCATTTTTTTTCATGACCGCACTTTTCGCGGTCAACACCTGCAGCTTTAACTTCCACGGAAGTTCTACGTGATTGCTTGATAGGTCGCAAATATTATTTTAATTTCAGCATACGTATTTCACCATTCTGAGAAGTCATGAACTCGTCTTCGCAGACTTTGCCGCCTCTTCTTCTTTTTTTTTTCAGTTGATAATCACCGTTTTCTCTTGTAAAGCCAGATGGTCTATGCAATTATCTATATGCTAATAGAAGATGCGAACATTTTTGTGCGTTGTAAATTGCAGTTAGGTGACCGTATTGGCAATCGGAAACTCGAACATTACAGTCACGTGGCATTAGGCAATATTGTCTTCGTCATTTAATTGAAAACCAAATGGGAACAACAGCTCGTACATCCAAGAAATAATGGTAGCACAAAGTTTCTCGATGCCAAACGTCGCCCGTGCAATCGACGTGTACAAGTTTTGCCGCATTCTTTGTAGGTCCACCACGGTTGTGCAGACGGTGCTCGGCTGATGACACGAAGGTAGCGGGATCGAATCCCGATCGCGGTGGCCGCATTTCAATATTGGCGATACGCTACAGGCCCGTGTATTTAAATCTGGGCTCACGTTAAAGAACTCTTGGGGATTACAATTGCTGGAGAACTCCTCAATGCCATTGCTAATGACGATGTCTTAGTTTGGGTGCGTTAAGCTAAACAATTATTCTTATCACTTGTAGGTGACATTGACCGATGCCGGAATTTACACTTGCTTTGTCAACAACACTTCCGGTTCGGACACCACCGACACCGAACTTCAAGTTACCGGTGAGCTCTTCCTTTGCTTCCTTTCTCGAGGTTGGAAGTACGGTTACCGGATTACTGCGAGCGCTTGTCCCTTTATACAGAATCATAAGTGCAAGCAAACACATGAAACCAACAACATCATTACCAATGTAGGCTTGTGACTGACCTTTGTAAAAAATGATTGCATGCAGATTGACTTTACGAAAGCAGGAACTTCGCGCTGTTAATATTCCCCGCGAAAATAGTACATATGAACCCAATTAACGACCCTGCTAAGAATTGAGCATAAAATACAAACTTAGTTTCAAACAGTTCCCCAAAACAAAATTGTAAGCGCTAGACAAATTCTAAAAAAAATAAAAGAAGGAGGGGGGAGTGTATTTGACTGTACCAAGCAAGTACACGTATACTTGGGCATCGTAGCAAGATAAGTGGGGAGCACACGGTGATGAAAGCGAACACGCCTACACCCAGTCATACCCACTCGTGCAACGGTGTTTGCAACCACATGCACAGTGCCACGTTGTTACATAGTAATGATTTCATATGTATATTAACGCTGATGATAATAAAAATACTTTCAAGTTGACTTGCGAAGAAAGGTGTCTTCTAGAATACGCATATATAACATTTGACATTTTTTACCTATACCTATTGTGGTGCTGAATCTCAGTTAGCATAAATCTAACACTGCACGTTGTTGATGTCAGCATTGCTTAACTCGAGATGGAACTTCATAACATTTACCTTTGATTGACTTCGATCGCCTTACTAGAAGTTTCTGGGCCTGCGGAATTCTTAATTCCGCGAAATCCACTTTGAGAGCCGCTGCTGTAGAAGGTAACTTTCCGAAACTCATTTATTTGCTTTAAGTTGAAGACAAAAGGGTCACAATAGTATTACTTAAACTGCCTACGTACCTAGATAGTTTCCGAGACCATGCTTATATCAGTAATGATGGCGCTTCTGGGCATATGTTATATGCGGAGTGTGCAACACTGTTTAGAGGAACTAGTGATAAGCTGTCATCTCATCTTGTCTTTATATGCATATTTTCACATTACTGCCAGCGTGCATTTCAGTTTAGCTTCGAACTCATTTATTAGGCAATACATGAGGGGTTAGTATGCGTCATGCTCTAGAAACTGCCTTTCTGCTTCAGTTAGCGCTTCCCTTCAATTAGTGACAACTTGGACAGACATGCAGGTCTTCTAATAGTTGGGTGGCGTTCGTGGAACGCTTGGAGATTAATTTAAGCGGACAGAAGCTAAGTGGCTTTCAAATTGAGTCGCTTGGGGCAACACTGAAACTAGAATGTAATGACCAAGACAGACTAGTGTTGCTATGCTAGTTAGACGGCTATGAGTTGGAATGTAACGACCATATCCGGAACTTGTGTTAGTTAGCGTGAGTTGCTACTTGGGAAAGTAATTAGTGCACGTGTGAATTTCAACCGTATTCCCTGCCACTAGACTTAAGCAGGCAAAATAAAACGCTTCCTTCATAATGCACAGATGTTGTTTTTAGAACCGAACCTTATTATTTTGAGGAGTTAAGTGGTGTGCACACAAATTAAACGTCAGGTAAACATAAGTGAAATCAAGGCACTCGTCCCGTCCTTATCTGTAAGGGGGATTACCTGAACAATAGTAAAAAGAAGTTTGGTGCATTTTGGGAAGCTATTGAGTGCCGATGCATCAAATACTGGAAACTGGCCACCAGATTTTGACGAGGCTATTGACTATTCATGCCTCATTTCTAGTGTGTAGAGCCTCCTCTGGCCTTTCATACTCACTCGAGCGCTGCTTTCTCTGGTCACGCCAATGCCAGTATGACGACGTACACGCGCATCATGGTCAATTTCACACGAGACATGCAAAATCATAGACACACACAAGCACAAAAAAAGCGCAAGCTGGGTATGGTCGGGTTAACCAGCGCCCGTTGTACTTCAAAGCCACGAAGCGTTAAACTTTTCCGATCAATTAATTCAACCACGTTTTACTGAGTTTTAGCTTGCTTCTCTGTTAAACAGCAGTTTCGACTGAATTAGTCGGCAAACGAACAAACAAGTAATACGCAGTTGCTGAGAAGCTCGGTGAGTAAAAAAAGCGAGAAAACTCTGATGCCATGTTCCTGAGTTCCCTTTGTTTGGAGGCGCGTACCTCAAAAGGGGGAAACGTAAACAAGCCGCTGGAAGAATTAACCACACGACTGAGACCTTCGATCTATCTGCAAAGTGTACCCGGTGTTTGGCGCTTTGAGGTAGGACGCATGCGTACACGTGCAGAACTAAATGCCCGTTCTTCTCTTGATCACTTTTATTCGAACACTCATGTTTCCATGCCCTTCATGTGCGAGCCCGCATGTGCGCTATTGGAAGCGAAGCGCGTGGTTTCAAGGATAAAGACAAAGATAAAAGGCAAAAGAAAGGGGGAGATAACAAAAGATACAAAACACGGCCAGGCGATTCGTGACGTGAAAACAAAAGCACGAGCCCATGCCGTACGAAGAGAAAAGCCCTGTTTAAGTCTTCCCGCATGCGCCAGCTTTCATGGAAACCTTCAGCTTTTTGAAATTTTAGAAAACAAGAAACAAAGGCTTAAAAGTTTCACAAACCCGCAGTGCGCTCTAAAAAATAAATGAAGGTAAACGTGCGCCGGAAGTTTCAACCGCCATGCACTGTTTTTGACAAGACTAGACGTTTCCTAAATGTTTTCGCGACGGGCATGGCGAACGAATAAAGAAGAAAGCAGACAATTCTATTATGTTTCTTTGTTTATGGTTTTTTCAGGTGTAGTTCTGTGTCGCCGTTCAGGCGTGCATGAAGAGTTAAATAAGTACACAAAGCCTCCATTGCTCTGGTGGGACACCCGTTACCAACAGCGCATGGCGTTGCAAAAGAAACAAAAGAAGAAAGAAGAATGTATATCGGACACTCATTTGCAAGGCAGATGGCTTCATGACACTGGGCTGTCGTCTTATTGTTATTATATACAGCCCGGCACGCCCAGAAAGCATCTGGCCAAGCGAGGAGTTCAAATGCATTTATTTCGCCCTGCCACTGAACTGCGTCACTATTGCTTTTTTTTTTGCTGTTGTTCTCTGCTTTTCTTGTCCCTTGGGAAGCGACAACATTGCGAAGCAGTTGATGCTCATCTCGGCTCTGAGTTAGGTAGCGTTCGCCAGGCCGTGCTTGCTGTCTGCAGCATGAAATGCCGGTCGACAGCGTGTGATCATGGAGTGCACGTCATAGCCGCGATGCCTTTTTCAGTATGTGTGCTGTAGCTGCAGTCTAGGGTTGTTTTAGACCATTTCCAAATGTATATCGCTGAAAACGTTAGGGACATAGCTGTGGCGTCTGATGCATATAATAATGCTGAACACAATAAGGACCAGTGACAACACAGATAAACATTTTGGCTACATTTTTTTTTTCTTTGAAAGTTTATTTGATCCATAGTGCTATTTCGACAGTGGCTAAGGTCGCAAGCTTGCCTTAGTGGTTTTTATTGACCACACATATTTCAAATTAAACGCAATCGAAATGTGCTTCAAATACAAAATAAAATGTACACTATAAAACACAATCAAGAATATCGACAATGATGGTATCGAAAATTGAGTCATGATGCTACCGTGAACAGTGTGGCCAATGCATTTGTCTGGTAACTTAATGCTGCAAAATACTGCATTTGCTGATAATTCTCAATCACTGGTTATTCGTACTACGTGCAATGAATGGATTACCATGTTTTCATATTTCTACGGTTTTATTGGTTGTGTCTTGTTGTTTCCGTATTGACGATGTGTCAATTGCTACCTTACCTTCTTAGAGATTCTGGGAAACAAGGAATCTTGAAAAGCTGAAAAATTCGTGAGGTGTCGCCGATTTCGCTCTTTCGACAAGTTATCTACGCAGAAGAATGCGAGATCATTTGTCGAAACTTTAACTTCAGCGACACCCCTTTGTCAGGGATCTTTCCTCTGTTGCACATTATTGCTACCTAATGTTTACGTAGGGTGCAGTGCTACACCGTTAAATGCGCATGTGGAATGAATCGTACTCCATTTCGGTTAACATTACATTCTTAATTTACTTCTTCGCTTCGGTCACTGTCTCCCCATGGCCACATCTGGCAACATCAGCGCCCCTGTCGGTGACGGTGCTGCCACGTGGCCTGAAGGTGGACGTGGGCAAATCGGCCACGTTCAACTGCTCGGTGAGTGGCTTCCCCGTGAACGGAGTCGAGTGGTACCGCAACCAAAGACCGCTGCTGCGCGGGGTCAGCCACGCTCCGTACAGCGTCACCATTGTGCCGGTCCGCCGCGAAGACCGCGGCGTGTACCAGTGCTACGCGTTCAACGACCAGGCTTCGGCCCAGGGGGCCGCGGAGCTCACACTGGCCGGTGAGTTTTGTGACCGCTCAGTTCTTTGAAACATGGGCATTGTCAACAGGGACATTGGTGTAAACATATTACCTAGTGTGAGATGCTCGCCCCGCCGCGGTAGTCTAGTGGCTGAAGTACTCGGCTGCTGACCCGCAGGTCGTGGGCTCGAATCCCGGCTGCGGCGGCTACATGTCCGATGGAAGCGGAAATGTTGTAGGCCCGTGTGCTCAGATTTGGGTGCACGTTAAAGAACCCCAGGTGGTCGAAATTTCCGGAGCCCTCCACTTTACGGCGTCTCTCACAATCATTTGGTGGTTTTGGAACGTTAAACCCCACAATCGATCAATCAGTGTGAGACGCTCGGGCGAAGCAATTGCCGACTATAGGTCTGCCAGGCTACGACCGCCTGTAGCAGCAGGCAACACCACCATCACAAGCGAGCATTTTCCGAGAGCCATCCAGCGCTATTAAGAGTATTACGTTGTGTTCTGTGGATCAGCGCTGGAATGTCTCTAAAATGGAGCATTATGAATATATCAAAGCCCATGTTGTCACAACCTTTTTCACTAGTATGTTTCCGCGTTAATCCCCTAATTCCTCGTTTTACTGACCGTAGAGAAGCTCTTTCAGCCGCGTTACCAATAGGTCAACATTACCAGGAATGCTCTTTACCATACCGTGCTTCGTAATGAAGTAGCTGCCTTCACACGCGAAACTGCAAAGTCACTTGTATGTAGGCCAACTCAGTGGAAGCAAATAATAGCTTCCACGCAAGTTTCCCTGGAAGGCGTTTTTGCGTTCCTTCTGAGAAAGTTGAATGACACGATGCATTTTCATGGTAGCTACGTAGCGCTTTATTTTATCAGGCAAAATATTGCTGCACGAAAAATGACTTTGTGGAGCCTTCATAGGCTATTCGTCTCTTTCATTACTTCATACCATTTTTCTTCTTTTATGTTAAAGTGTAACTAAGTCGGAATATTCCGTGGGTAACCATTCAGTCTTGATTTGCCTTTCATCTTCTTCCTAATTAGTCTTTCTTTTTTCTTCGTCACAACTAATGTTGTTGAAGAAGATTAAGATGAAAAACAAGCGACAGACGTTTCGCACTCCGTACGGGTTTTGTACGGGTTTTTTGATCAGATCAACGAGGGTGATACAAACAAAAAACTTTATGGGTTCCTAAATGTCTCTAATCTGTTTTCACTTTAACTTGGTCAGTGACAGCAACTTATTTATTATTTTACCTCTCCAGAGGAACTTTCATCGAGCTCAAATGCAGCTAGCGTTGTTCCCGAATACCCCCAGCCACTTCTTTTGGGCGCATGAAGCAATCCGGTTCCACTTTATTTTCGTGCTCAATTCGCGACTGACCTGGAACTCAGGTACACCGACCCGGCGGGGGGTCTTTTCTACCGCAGATGACCCGCCCACCCTGCGCGAGACTTTTTCGGAGCGCACCCTGTCGCCAGGACCATCCATATCCCTCAAGTGCATCGCAGCCGGACGACCGCTTCCCCAGGTCAGATTGACAGAGTTCCTTGCTCAACCTCCGTGACGGCGCCGTCGCCTGCGGAAGTCGGGGTATCGATCGACCACTTCTATTCGTCATTTGTGCTATTCATGACTGCATGGAACGCGAAGCAGCTTCACCAGCCATCCCATGAATGGAAAAGAAATAGACCCTCAATTCGATGTCTCGCCCCGTGGTTATTTTTTTTCTGCTGCTTACTCTTCTTCTTGTGCAAACCCGTTGGGAGGTCCACCTACCCTACATGGGCCCTTCACGTCGCGACGGTCAATATTTGCGGTTGCTGTAATGTTCGTCTATAGCCCAAGCACGACTGTTCGAGTGAGTTTTCCTGTCGGCCAAACCCCTTCATAGTTTTTTTTTTTTTTTGTGAAAGTAGTCCACCGCAGGGTCGAACTTACCTTCATTTCTGACAAGGCCACGCAGTTGCGATGTGCGGCTTTACTTTTTTTGTTGTTTTACTATTGCGCGAGCATGGTCTGTATAACCAACACCATAAGCGTGCGCAGGGTTTTATTTTAGAGGGAGAGCCCAAGTGAGGTGGCAGACACACCTAACCAGGTCGCGTCCGAAACCAAATGGGCGAGTTTCGCAACGAATAAAAGAAAAGAAAAATTGTGCCATGACGTACTTCACATAGCGGCCTTCCTTTGATTCCGGACTTTACAATGCAGAAAGTATGAAGTCCACAGTTGTGGGTATGCAGCATAAGTTATTGTAAAAAAACACTTCATGGCCATAGTCATGCTCATTAAGCAATGGCGGGACGGGTCTTATTGAGTAGAGGTAACGGCCGACTTGATGCTCACCTTAAATTATTAGCGTAGCCCTTCCTCTCCCCTCCCCCAAGCAATCCTCTCGTGCGCACGTTTATGACCAACAGAGAAGGCTTCGTCACGTTCTATAACCGATTCTTGGCTGACTGAATGAAAGTATTTGGTACGTCATATAACACGCATGGGGATTGCACTTCTCGTATCATTACAATTTTCAAATGTTTGAAACTTCTCGTTCCTAACAAATAGCTCTGCGGGAGCCAGCAGGTAAATTAAACCTTCGACATTTATGTCCTTGACAACTTTCACCTAATCTAGCAGGCGCTGGGAAAGTGAACAATTACTGACCAACTACAGTCGTTTTTGCGTGTTTATCGGCACTGTTTGAGGCAGCGACGAAACTTTTACTTCACGACAAAATTGTAGGTCACGCCTTTGGCACATTACTAAAATAAAGTTCGAAATAAATTTTATGTTTACGGGGTCTCATCAGATAGTTGTTCAAGTGAAAAAGCGAGTCATACACTGCTTAACCCAACATGCGTATTTATAGCCCTTGTTCGAATGCGCACTTGAATAGAAATAAAACAGACAGGGTAACTGTATCGATTTTGGCTAAGTAGAGCTAACAATCAGAAGGCATGTGCTGATTGTGGCCGCTTGTATGTTGTGGCTTCGCTGCGTAAATAGCTTCTGATGGCTTCGCAAATGTTCGCAAGTCTGTCCCTGCCATAAGCTTCACACAGTGGCTTCCAAACGACTGGCATTGATCATGCTGCCCCAGTCCTGTTTTCTAGAACCAACGAGTTGAGATATTTATCACCTGCTCCGCGAATGAGTCCTGAGGGCTAAAGTCGCTGCATGACGGATGCATGGTTTGCAAATGGTTCCCGTTTCGAACATTTACTAATGACCACTGGTATAGACCCTCTCTGTTACTGTTTAGAAACGCAGGCCCTTAACGACATCTGGTTTTGTCTACTGATATGCCTTAATAGCATCGGGGAACAAAAATAGCTTTAGAAAGTATCCCACTGATTCTCTAGTTTCCTTCCCCTATTTGGCAAAATATATTCAAATAAACGTTTTTTTAAGAAACATAAAAGTTATAAAAAATTCCCTTGTACTTTACGCACGTTCATTTTCGGTGAAAAACGAAAGAGAGACATTCCTCACCCTGAAAAAGAGCTTGAAAATGTGCTTTCAGTTTCGAGGTTATGAGCTGGTAAATCAGGTGACCGGAAGTTTTTTGGGGTACAACGCTTGCAATCTTGAAACAGTCTACAGCGAACGAGCCCATTTTAACAATACTGCTATTTGCAGCACCTGCGTTTTCACCTGCACCCGTACATTGATCGATTGTATCTAAATGGCCTCGATAAGACTTTCTACCCGGTAATTAGTTGTGCGTGACTAGTAATAAAGCTGAAATAACAGGAGGTGAATTCCAGTGGCTTAGTAGATTGATATTAGAAAGAACTCTTCATTGTGTTTACGCCTTTCGGAAAGAACTACAACCACTCACTTCTCGCGAGAGATTGGTAGGAGTGCTAAGACAGCCGAATAATGCTACAGAATCTAGCCTTTCTTTTCGATATTATCAGAAACTACAACTTAGAAATAAAGTTTAGGGTCACCGTGGGTCGTGGAAAATTCTCGGCACAGCGTCCAGCAAACGTTTCTGAGCATCGTGCGGCGTGCTTACGGATACTCGTACGATTAGCCACAGGTTCACGCAAAAGAATTCACTCTTATCGAAGCGCTTTTCACACGCATGCACTTGCGGTGGATTAAATGTGAGACCACCAATTTTTTGTCGTGGACGCGCCGTTTACTGACTAGGCGGTCAGGATTAACATACACTTCTTCGTCATTTCCTTTGTGACCAGATCGATGATTAGGCACGCAGAATCCTTTTCGATCTTCAGTCACAGAACGCACAACACCAAACATACAATAAAAAAACGCGCGGGGACATGCCATACAGTATGCGGCCGTCGTCTGTCCGATGCTTGTTGGGCTTTACCGCTGGCGAACATACAGCGCTGCCCCGCGGCCTCCACTTGCAGCGCAGAAAGCTTTTCCATAGAGTCACGTCGAAGCTCTACGACTAGTAAAAGTACCGAAGGACTCTGGTATTTCTTTTCGCATGACACAGGGATGATATATACGACGCTGTCGACGCACAGTGTGATTAGGTACCTGTGCTTGTTTTTTTTTTCTTTTGTTAGCTCAAAATATTAGCTGGCGCAGTTTCATAGTTTATGGGTGTGGAAATTACAACTTTCACGTTTCAACACAGCCCTATCTGCTTGAAGTTTAGACTGATTTATCAGCGCAAAAAAAGACAGAACGTTTAGAAAAGACATACATGCACACAGCACTGTGTGTTTGTGTAGGTCTTTGCTAAAAGTTCCGCCTTTTTTCGCGCTGATAAATCAGTCTAAATAATCTTGAACCAACTGACCCAAGCAGCAGTTCTAGTAAACTTCCTGAAGTGGCACAAAGCTTCGTGAGCGTAACGAACCACTACCACTTTAGCTTTATTCTCACCCTTATAATAGCGGTCACTGTGATAAGAGCGTTTGACCTCCTTCAGAAGTTGATCATCAACCGAAGCAAGGGCATGTTGCGAATAACAAGCCTTCTCGAGGCGGTCCACCTTGCCTGTAATGCTGTTCCCATATGAACATCTTTTTAACGAACATCAATGCTGAATATCTTTCCTATGCGAATGATCTAGCAAGATAGTGTTGTCATTTTTATAACTTCGTAACCTGTTAACAGTCATGCGTTGTCGTCTTCACATGTTCTGTTGCGCAGCTCAATTTTTCGCCAGATATATGTGTCTCTTCTGAATTAAAACGGTTGGAAGTCTGCGCTCGTTCATGTCAGCTCCCCGTTTGTTCATTCGCGTTTTTTTTTTTCACTATTCAAACTACCTTCATGTCGAATTATCGAATCGTCCAAAAGCTCACGCTGATCACCGGGACTTCCTTCAGGTGTCATTGAATTGAGGTGATTTTGGTTTATTTAGGCATGGCATTAAAGGGGCAATCCAGGGTCGCTTTAGCCCGAAAGCATGAAGTGCTTCCAAGAAGCGCTTCCCAAAACTGCTTTGTGACCTCAGGAAATATATATATCCAGCTATGAACGGATGAACACAACATCAGCCGGAAAATAGGATGTCACCGTGAAGTTTTCGACTCGCGTTTGGTATGAGGCGTATTCCTCGACGCTCGCATCTCGTGCCGTGTTTGCAGGTGACGTGGTCGCTTGACGGACTGCCCGTTCCTGAAAACACACGCTTCCGCATGGGTGACTACGTGACGAGCGAAGGTCACGTGGTCAGCTTCGTCAACATCTCGGGCGTGCGGGCCGAAGACGGTGGTCTGTACCGGTGCAGCGCGGGCAATGACGTGGGAGTCTCCGAGCATGCAGCGAGACTCAACGTACACGGGCCCCCGTTCGTACGCCGCATCGGCAACATGTCTGTGGTCGCGGGGGAGGCGATGCGCGTGACGTGCCCTGTCGGTGGCTACCCCATCGAGGCCATCACTTGGGACAGAGGTAAGCGCAGCGTAATCGTGTTGGCACAGTTCGTGTGTCTTTTTGGACAGCGACGCTTTCTATGTCTATATTTGAAAGAAACTTGAAAGTCCAGAGAGGCCTACACGAGAGTGTAACAACCAATGGCGTCCGTGACTAAAGCAATAGTCCCGCGCAGGCTGTCACTCCAAGCAATGTTCTGTGAAGGCGTGGTTACTGGTCATCAGGCTCGTGACGTCAATCAGCAATGCTCCCCCATTGGCACAGGCTTGTGCGAGTGCACTTTAGAGGGCGAAATGCCCCAGACTTCATAAGTTGTATCAGATCATAAAGGGGACTGATCCGTTTCTTACTGTGCAAAACCCTCAGTGCCCTCTAGGGAGCAGTCGGAGAAGCAGTGTGTACTGAAGCATTTTTGAAGTATTTGAATTGAACTCATGCTACCTTTTATGAAACTGAGTAGTGTTAATCACTTTACTACCGACACCAGGCACCGTTTATGAAGTGCCAGAATAAGCATAATTTTCTATTTCATCAGTTTTCCCCTTTTTAACGCATTATAATGCATTATAATAGCAAAAACGTTGTTACCGGTGGTGAGGTTTAAACCTAGGTCCCATTTTCAAAGGCGAGCGTCAACCACTGGGTGACGCAGCCTTTTTTCTCGAAACTTATGGTAGTATGCAACACGAAAGGAGACATGCAGTAGGTTTAACCTAGCTCTGTTTTGCTCTAGGCCTCATAGCAAGGATTGCGTAATGTGAATATATCGGAATTATATGACCATGGTTAAAACTTACCGTGGTAAGTTCTCTATGCCAGAAAAAAAAACTTTTATATCGGGAAACATCATTTAGATGAACCTGTTCGTAATAACAGACACCAGCAACTTGTAGTGCTGAATATTTTGCTGTAGATGGTTGCCACTCGAGAATAGCCAACCAGTCCCTACGATTTGAAACCTTTGTGCATTGAAGCTTAAGAACCATTCAAAGTGCAAGAAAAGGCGCAGAATACTAAAATACACACAGATTCAATGCTGATCAGTGTGTCTTTTCATGTTTTGCGTTTTTCTTGCGCTATTTAAATGTTTTTAAGTACGAATCAACTCACCCAAGCATCAGCTTTAGTGGATTGAACCATTCTAGCTTTGTGTAAAGCCACTGAGCAGCTACGCGAACACAGCCAGTTTCTTCTTCCTTGTGGACAGGGCCACAAAAGCCGTCGTCATCGTCTCCAAGCTCCGCGCAAGTGGCTCAATGGTTTCGTTTCTTTTTCATTGTACACATACTCTTCTTCGTCGTTTTCACTCTTTCCTTTTCTACGTCTCATTCCGTGCAACCAGGTGAAACTTGTTCGGACTTTTTCAAGCGCGAACAAGGATGGTGTTAAGTGTATCAACATTGCGTCGTGCCGTTTCTCTTTCTCGCTCCCCATTCGCTTCCTTTCGTGTTCAAACACCGCTGCGGGGCGACATCTCCAACGTTTCCAGACAATATAGTGCGAGGCTAATGTCCTTGCTGCCTTTCACGCGAGCTACTTTCTTCTTGATAGATTTATAACTTAGTTTCTTAGTTCGCGTCCACAGCGCTCTCCACTTCTCTTTCGGCGCGCTCACGAAACGCCCGAGGTGTGCTGTATCACCCACTGCCAGGTGACGACCGAGCTGTGCGTTGGCGCCGCAAAAAAAAAAAGAAGCAAGGACGAGTCTAGTGAGCGTTATCTTGCGGCTCGCAGGCTTTTCAAGAGCGCACAGCACCACCACTGCGCCGCGAACTTTTGTTGCCTTCTTTGTTTTTCTCCCACTCTCTCATTCTTGATATCCCCTTTGTACACACTCCTCCCATTAGGCTCCTTTATTACCTTTCTGCTAAAATGCTGAATGTCATACGTTCCTCAATTTGTCCGCCGTCCCAAAGTGGATGCTTCTCACGCGTGCTTTGTGCAGGGGCAGCGTCGCATCCAATGAAGTCTCTCTCACGCGAGGGTATACGCAAGGGTATACGCAAGCAGGAAGAATTGCTTTCACGCACGCAAACCTTGGGTGATCTCTTTCCCGACACGGTATAAATTTTGTTGCTGCTTTGGTCGTCCTTTTTTTTCGTGCCGCAACAAGAACATCGATACAGAACATTGTCTTTGATGTCAGGGATATATTATTAGAAGTTCAAAGTCCATGTTTACGTAACGTAAAATAACATGGTTTGTGCGCTCTAACAGCGAATGAAGTCTTCCACACCTGGTTAAGATGAAGCCAAGTTGAATATTGGTGGCTACGCACAGTGGGGAACTTAGGCTAACCAACGTGAGTGACTATGTCGTCGGATAGTCATGGTCGTGGTCGCAGTTGTCATGGTCAGACTGGAGAGCTACGTGGGTGCTCCCTCTCAGAAGCGCGTACCTGTGGTCGGTTTATCGCTCGGCAAGTCCCCTCACGAATTCTTTCGATCTGGTGGAAACTCTCACAAGATACGAAAAGAACTGGCATATTTTGTTTACAACTACAAAAGCAGTGGCCAAGTATAAGCAGTGCAATCACATGAGCAGCCACTTTGTGTTTCTTTTTCGGCCGTCCTCGTTTGTCTGTAGCAGCAGGAGAGCCAATAATCAAGTCTAAGCCTTACAGCAACTTAATAAAACTGATATATTTTTCTCTATTTTTTTACCTATCTTTCTTTTTCTCTCGCTCTTCCTTTACAAGTTCCAGAAAGCTAAACTGTTTGTCGAGACGTGAACTTCTCCACGTCTGTGTGATTACAGCACACGTTAAGACCACCAGATGGTAAAAATCTCCGGATCCATCCACCAAGGCGTTTCACATAAATATTGTGGTTTTGGGGTGCAAACCCCAAGAAGTATTATATCATTAGGTGAACTTTTTTTAATTTTAGAATTATACCTTTGCTTGCTTGTGATGAACCGCTTTTCTACATGTCTACTTTAGTTGTACAGTTATGGCCTTAACTATATCTCTACTCCTTCGTTCACTTGCAGAGGGCCTCCGGCTGCCGTACAATCACCGCCAGAAGACCTTCACTAACGGAACGCTGGTCGTGCAAGACGTTGAGCGGGCCACGGACGAAGGCCTCTACTCGTGCACAGCTCGAAACAGGGACGGCCTTACGGCGCACAACACCGTTTACATCAAAGTGCTCGGTAAGCGGCTCTCGTTCGCCACTGCCGCCACCCCCCTTCCTTTCCAGGCCGCCCCGGATAAGACGAGTCTACATGAAAGCACTCTATAAAAAATAAGCAGTTTTCTTGCCCCAGATAGCGTTTACTATGGTCATTTTTTGTGCCGCTAGGGCATGTTTTGATTATTGGCATGCGCTTCATTAAGCAGGCTGTACAAAGTTCACTTGTTTCTGTTATCTTTCTTTTATTGGCAGTAAAGAGAACCAAGAGCACTTAACGGAACAAAATTACTTTGCTCCTCCTATTATTAGAGTGCACCAAAACAATAATTTTCCCTATTAATTAAGCGCCCATCTTGCACTTCTCTAAACAACTTAAGGAAGGCGAGTAGCAGAAACAAACGCTTGTTTTGGCGTACCGAAAAACAAATCTGCTTATAGATTTGCACCAGGCCGTTTTTAGGGGCGAAGCCCCTCAAGGCGTGGGTTTGTCCATTCCTTGTATGTACGTGACCGCCTATAATTTTACCTTTGCCAACTGCCCACTACTTCATCCTTGCAAACACCCCACTGCGCCACATCAGGAATCCACCACTTCACCGACCATAAAGCAAATACTGTTGAGAAGTAGTCAATATGAAATGCTAGGAGGTCGTGCTTTTCTATCCAGGTGCTCGTTGAAGAACCATCGATTGTCCCACTTTGTCTATCCTTTGTATTGTTACACGCAAGAAGTACACGAAAAGGTTGAAAAACAGGCGAGCCTGGATGGTTCGCGTTTACTTCCACAAGGGGTCTCGAGACAGCACACCCAACGTCGTCTTCCTTCTTCACCTTTTTTCTGAATGTTCATTCGCGCTGTATGCGCCGTGCATTGCAACCGCTCGTGACATTTCCCCGTTGGCAGACGAAGCCCGCCGGGCGAGTCACTCAGTGGTTCGTGCATTGCATAGCTTCATGCGAGCGACGTGCGCCACTTCTGTTTTAGCCGAGCGCCGTCCAGTGCTTGTGAGCCGTGCTATGCGGTAGTTGACCTCACTGAGGCGTTCGAGGATAACGTAGGGCCCGACATAGTGAGCGAGAAATTTGTGGTACAGGCCACGTTTCCGTAAAGGCGTCCAGAGCCACACCTGATCTCCAGGATTGAAGTGAACATGTCGGTGACGGTCGTCATAGCGGATCTTTGACCGGTCTTGCGAGGTGACGGTGCGTAGCCGAGCGAGGCGTCGCGCTTCTTCTGCTCTACAGAGAATCTCGTTGATCGGCTCACTGTGATGAGCAGAGTAGGGAAGCATAGTGTCAAGATTATAGCGTGGTGGACGAGCATAAAGGAGAAAGAAAGGTGAGTAACCAGTGGTCTCATGTCTTGCGGTGTTGAAAGCATAGGTGATTAAAAGCAAGATTGTGTCCCAGTTTTTGTGCGCGGAATCGATGTACATGGACAGCATGTTGGCAAGCGTTCGGTTCGTGCGTTCCACTAGACCATTAGTCTGTGGATGGTATGGAGTGGAATGGCGGAAGCTTGATGAGCACAGACGAAGGGTCTCTTCGACAACATCCGCGGTAAATTGCCGCCCACGGTCGCTGATTACGATGCGAGGAGGTCCGTGTCTGAGGATAACTTGAAACAGCAAGAAGATGGAAACGTCTTTTGCTGTGGCCGACGGCAGTGCTGCCGTCTCACAATAACGGGTTAAGTGGTCTACGCAAACGATGACCCAACGATTGCCGTCTGTGGATCGCGGAAAAGGGCCCAGAAGATCTATACCAACTTGCTCAAAGGGGGTGCTAGGAGGCGAAACAGGCTGAAGGCGACCAGACGGCGCGTCAGTTGGTCGCTTGTAACGCTGACATTGGGTGCAGCTGGCGACGTACCGTTCGGTATCATTGCGCATCCGGGGCCAATAAAAGCGTTCCTGAGCACGGTAGAGTGTTCTTGTGCATCCAAGATGTCCGGAAGTTGGTTCGTCGTGCATGGCAGATAATACGTGACTGCGAAGGCTCTTGGGGACAACCAAAAGGTAGCGCGCACCGGTAGCCGAGAAGTTCGTCTTATATAGGGCGCCGTCACGTAAGCGAAAACGATTGTCTGCAGCGGACTCCCGCGCGGCCGCGAATAGCGGCTGTAAGCTGTCGTCTTTCCTCTGCTCTGATATGAAGGTATCCATATCCGGAAATCCCGTGGACACAAAAGCGATGTATTCATCAAAGTTGTCCGCGTCACATTCAGTCGTTGGGAGTGGCAGGCGAGAGAGACAATCAGCATCAGCGTGTCGCCGGCCGCTCTTGTAGGAAACAACGAAATCATACTCCTGCAGACGGAGCGCCCAGCGTGCTAGTCGACCAGAGGGATCCCGAAGATTCACAAGCCAGCATAGAGAGTGATGATCCGTGACGACAGTAAAGGGGCGCCCGTAGAGATACGATCGAAACCGTTGCACAGCGAAGACGACCGCCAGACACTCTTGTTCGGTGACAGTGTAGTTGCGCTCGGGGCGACTCAATGAGCGGCTAGCGTACGATATCACATGCTCGCTGTCGCCGACACGCTGAACTAGTACGGCGCCAATGCCAACACCACTAGCATCGGTATGAACTTCTGTCGGTGATGACGGATTGAAGTGGCGAAGAATAGGCTGGGACGTCAACAGTAGCTTTAGCTGCCGAAACGATGAGTCGCATTCCGAGCTCCACTCGAAAGGAACACCTTTTTGGAGAAGGCATGTGAGCGGATGAGCTATGTCAGCAAATTTGGGAATGAAACGGCGAAAGTAGGAGCATAACCCTAAAAAACTTCGTAGCTGCTTCACAGAGCGAGGTGCCTCGAATGCCTCCACAGCTGTTGTCTTTTGTGGATCTGGTCGTATACCTTCTTTGTCGATCAGGTGTCCCAGCACAAGTGTCTGTCGTTCACCAAAATGGCACTTTTTAGAATTAAGCACAAGGCCGGCCTTCCTCAAGCAGTTCAGTACCAAGTCCAGGCGCTCGTTATGCTCACGAAATGTTCGGCCGAAGATCACAACGTCGTCTAGGTAGCACATACAAACTTCCCACTTCAAACCGCGAAGTATAGTGTCCATGAACCTTTCAAACGTTGCGGGGGCGTTACAAAGCCCGAAAGGCATCACGTTGAATTCAAATAGTCCATCGGGCGTTACAAAAGCGGTCTTCTCTCTGTCATCCGGGTGCATAGGGATTTGCCAGTAACCTGATCGTAAATCCACAGAAGAGAAGTAAGAAGCCGCAAAGAGGCAATCGATGGCGTCGTCAATTCGTGGGAGTGGGTATACGTCTTTCCTAGTAACGGCATTTAGGCGACGGTAATCGACACAGAATCGCCACGTGCCGTCTTTCTTCTTCACCAGTATCACTGGAGCTGCCCAAGGGCTAGACGATTCCCGAATTACTCCTTTACCCATCATTTCTTCGACTTGAGCGCTGATGATCTTTCGCTCCGCAGAGGACACACGATAGGGTTTTTGACGAATCGGTTCAGCGGATCCTGTGTTGATGCGATGGCGAGTACGGGATGCAGGAATCGATGTGGGGCCGTCGTGCTGTGCAAAGTCGAATATTGAAGAGTGTTTCGAGAGCAGGGCCATCAAAACACGACGTTCATGGTCACTGAGCGATGTAGCTACCATTCCGAGCATGTGTTCGTTTGCGGTGTGCGAGACACTGGTTTGTGCTGTATCCGGTAGTTCTGTAAGCACTGCCATAGGTATAAATGACTCTCCCTGAAACGTAGCAAGTTTTAGGCCTTGAGACAGCACTACGGCTTCAGTGGAGCAATTTAGCGTCCATAGCCCTGCGCATCCATCGGTAACTGAAACCATACAATACGGAACCAACACATTTTTCTTAAGACAGTTTCTATGGACCGGTTCCACCGCAACATCGAACGAAGTACTAACAGAAGACGAACAAACAACAGGAACGCGCATCGCGGATAAAGCGGGCACAACAGTGTCTTCAGAAACACAAAACACACTCTCTTGCTGGGATGATTCTTCTAAGAGCGCAGAGGACACACTTCCGCAAATACTGAGTTCTCCTGTTCGGCAGTCAACATTGGCGCCACACAATTTCAAAAAGTCAATGCCGAGAATTACATCGTGTGTGGAACGCGGAAGCACGGTAAACTCAGTGTTAAAGGTTTGACCACCCAAGGAGACATCCACGTTACACACACCAACCGGGTATAATGAGTCCCCACTCACTCCACGAAAGCTTGTGCTGTGGTCCCAATGAAACATAACCTTGCGTCCCAGCAGATTTTTGAACACCACACTCATGACAGAAACAGTTGCTCCCGTGTCGACTAAAGCCATGGTAGAAACGCCATCAATAAGTACATTAACCTTATTCTTCAGCATGAAGATAGGTGGAGGTATCCGAGTCGGCAGCAAAGATTTTCCAGCGACCTCACCTCCATCGGCCGCGCTGGCTAGTTTCCCGGCGGTGGTGACGCGAAGCGGCGTCGAGGAGATGATGACGTCACACGCCGTCTGGGAGATGGAGATCGAGACGCTCGGAAAGCTGGTGGTGGTGTCAGAGTACGTTCGGAGGCAGGAGAGCGGTAACGGTTTCGATACCTTTCTTGTTCTCCAGAATAGCTGTCCAGAGGGAAGTGACGGCTTCTTTCTTCTCGGAAGTAGCCTTCAAAAGTGGTGTTTCCTGGCCTATTAGTGTCCATTGCACGACCACCGTGTTGCATAAACGATCCCGACTGTCCATTGCTGAATGCCCGACGTCGGTTACAATACCTAGCTATGTGGCCAGGCGTGCCACAGTTGTAACACACGGGCAGAGGGCGAACTTCCGGACGCTGATTGAAATATTCCACAGCGGCCACAGGCTGAGAGTAACTCATCCCCTCCCCTTGGATGTCGTAGGCAGTGCTGGGTCTTCGTGGGCGAACGTCGCGTGGATGCTGATCAAAACGCCGATCAATCGAGTCGTAATGGCGTTGTTCGGTCTGGCCATAATGCGGGTCGTGTCGGTAGCTGTTACAATCCGCAG